CTCCTCCTCCTCCTCTTCCTGGTCGTCCTCCTCCTCCTGGTCGTCCTCCTCCTCCTGCTCGTCCTCCTCCTCCTCCTCCTGCTCGTCCTTCTTCTCCTGCTCCTCCTGCTCCTCGTCCTGCTCCTGCTCGTCATCGTCCTCCTGGTCTTGCTCGTCCTCCTCCTCGTCGTGCTCTTGCCCCTGCTGAAAATGTGGCCCAGGAATGGGAGTTCTGGGAAGTCGAAGAGCACGAAGTTGCCTACAGTTGGCTACGGGCATTCAAAAATGTGGCCCGGGAATGGAGTTCTGGGAACTCGAAGAGCACGAAGTGGCCTACAGTTGGCTCCGGGCATCCAAAATGTGGCCCGGGAATGGAGTTTCGGGAAATGGAAGAGCACGAAGTGGCTTACAGTTGGCTCCGGGCATCCAAAATGTGGCCCGGGAATGGAGTTCTGGGAAATGGAAGAGCACGAAGTGGCCTACAGTTGGCTCCGGCCCCCCAGAATGTGGCCCGGGAATGGAGTTCTGGGAAATAGAAGAGCACGAAGTGGCCTACAGTTGCATCCGGCCCCCCAGAATGTGGCCTGGGAATGGAGTTCTGGGAAGGCGAAGAGCACGAAGTGTGTGACTGTTGGTGAAAAACGAGCCCGGCTCACTGCCGCCCGGCAACTCCCAACACCTGCCCGGACCCCCCTGTGGAGTGATCTGCTGCTCTCTTTTGATCCCACTAGAAACCTATCAGTCTTCGCTGTTAGGTAAAAATCGTCCCTGGACTACTTTTTAACTATTTTGGAATACTCCTCCTGTAGAGGGACAGGCCCGACTCAATAATAGGAACGCTGGCTTCCTCCTCCTCCTCCTCCTCCTCCTCCTCCTCCCAATCCGAAGACGACGCAAAAACGCCGGGACCCACTTCGTCCAGGTCCAGGGCCCCGTCTTCCCTTCGTGGCGGTCCTCCCCCGTGCCCCCCTCCGCGCCTGATCTGCCGGTACAGGAAGTCCCGGCCAGTGATCTTTAGCACCGCAAAGGCCCGGCCGCCGAGCTGCTGGTGGTAGCCGGGCAGCCCGCCTGGCCTCGAAAACGACGACGACGACGACGACGACGACGACGACGACGACGACGACGACGACGACTGCGAGGACCACGACGAACGACGATCGACGACCGAAGACCGACCACCGAAGACCGACTATCAACGACCGACAACCGACGATCGGCGACCGACGACGGACGACCGACGACGGACGACCGACCGACGACCGACGACCGACGACCGACGACGGATGACCGACGGACGACGAATGACCGACGACCGACGAAAGACAACGGACGACGGACGACGGACGACGAACGACGGACGACGACGACGACGACGACGACGACGACGACGACGACGACGACGACGGACGACGACCGACCGACGGACGACGACGACGACCGACCGACGGACGACGATGACGACCGACGAAGAATCCGACGACGACGACGGACGACGACCGACGGACGGACGACGACGACGACGACGACGACGACGACGACGAAGAATCCGACGGCTACGACGACGACGACGACGACGACGACGACGACGGACGGACGGACGACGGACGACGGACGACGGACGACGACGACGACGACGACGACAACGACCGACGACCGACGACGACACCGACGATGGACGCAACGGATCGACAGCAGAGCGGTTTCGAACAGGTCTTGATCGGACCAGTGGGGACGGCGGCGCCGACGGCGACGGCGACCTCGACGACATCGATGGCGGCGACGGTGGCGACGGCTACGACGACGGCGACGACAAGGGGAACGAGGAGGACAATGAAATAGGCATGAGGGAGATGGTAGAGGAAGATAAAGGAGGGGAGGAAGAGGAGGGAAAAGAGCGACCTGGCGTGCTTGGGAAGTGGCCGAACCGCGCAGGAAAGATAACCGCCCGCTCGCAGAGGGCCTGAGAGCGTGTCGAGCGTGAGCTGCATTACAGCGTGGTGCAGTGGATGGGACGTTTATGTGTTTGGTGGAACAATATCGGCCGTGGACAAACCTCCCTTCAGTAAACCTCCCCTTGGTGAAAACGGCCTGGAACCGAAACCGACGGACCTGGACCCGCAAAAATGACGGCCGCGACGCCCACCGAAAACGGCCAATTCCTTAATCGACGTACCCCCGACCATAGGTGGGTCTGTCCACCCCCGACAATAGTGCACCGTGGTGGATAAGTCATGTGGCCGATTCCAGACATCCGGAATCCAACAAAATGTGCATGTCTTGGGGATATGTTCTACTTCCGTCGGCTTCCGCTGGCAGAGGCGGCACACATTTTACTTCCGCCAGCTTCCTCCGGCCTTCCGCCGCCTTCCGCCGACGAAGAGATGCGAACTCCCACGATCCTCGAAGGCTATATGCCCTTTCTGGAGCGCCCCATGTGGAGAAGTCAGGAGTGGCATTGCCTTGGGAAAGGCCGAGGAGGGCCCGATGCTCGTTCTGTGACTGGCCCGTCGCTGGTGGGCCAAACCACTCTGAGTCGCAGGTGACACAAGCGTATTGGAATGGTGTACTAGGGGCATGGACCCAACCCTGGTGAACCAACCAAACACATATGCATTGGGAACGATATTTGCACTGATGAGGCACAGTGGTTTATCGGCAGTGTCTTTAAAGTATCGCGTGCTGAATCATACTACCAAGAACGGTTGGTCTGAATAGCAGTGCGTGCCAGCACGGACATTCCAGGATGATTATAATAGTCAGGAGTGGCGGAGAGCTCACGTATGCCGCATAGCCTGCCAGTGTTCCTCCGTGCGGCGTGGCTGCTGTGGCAACAGGTTTCGGACCAACAAATGTACAACACGTTGAGCGTGATCTATGGGCCTTTGTTCTGAGAGACGTCTGTTGTGTGGCGCTGGGCTCATACATAGAGCAATGCTGAATTTTGATGCAGGGTCTCGTCGAGTCGAAGTAGGACTCAGCGTGGCCTGAGCAATGCCGTTGCGTTATCCTCAGCAGTAAAAAAATGTTGCTATGGCGGCGGCTGCCTGGTGATATCTGTGCCCAGGCAGAGCCGCATGATGCATAGAGAAAGGGCAGAAGTGGGGCAGACATGTTCTCCATACCAAGATCGAGGCCGTCCGATTGAGGGCGTCGGGATTGGCGTAGGCGAGGCCAAGGAGGAAGGACGAGGGATGAGGGAAAACGAGAAAAGGGCGGAGAAAAGGGGAAGGTGAGCGAGAAAGGAGGACGGAGGAGGAAGGGAGAAGGGAGAAAGGAGAAAGGAGGATGATCAGGAGCACTGAACGCCTGGCCTGCATCTGTACACGCTGCGCATGCTGCGAGGGTCCGACGCGTCCACGAAGCCAGGGCTGAAGTTGTGGAACGAGCGCGTCCCTGTCAGCTTCTTGAGCGCGTTTCGAAGCCGAGCGAACAGGTTGCGTTGCCTCTGTGGGGGCTGAGTGGCACGCCAGCTTAACAAATCTACTCTGCCAGGCCGTCATCAAGCGCCCCTCCCGCTGCCAGCATGACGTTTCGTCAAGTGCCCATCCTGCCGAAGCCTGTCTGAAAACCGAGCCCTCAGAAAACAGAAATCACCAGCGCACGTCTTTGGACGGTGGGTACATGCGCGCATGTCTATACGGCACACGCAATGTGTAGGTCACCACATCTGTCAGCACTCATCCCGATCACAATACAAGATGTACTTTGCTGTGGCGTCCCTGACTAATCGAGCGCACCATTTCCAATGCCGCTTAGCGGCCAGCATGATGCTGGCCGCTCCGAGGAGGAGGACTCATCATGCCTCCTCCTGCCCATGCTCCCGTTCTGACCAGAAATCTCGAGGCGGACCCAGCCGTGGCGACGAAAAGACCATCTGGTGGCCCAGGAAAAGAGCCAATAACACCCAGAAAACCCTTTCCTCCACTCTCGATCCTTGAACCTCGATGCCTATGCCCAAATCCGGGCGCGTCCGAGAGGGGGGCGTCCAAGAGGGGGTTCTCGCCAGTCTGTTCTCGCTTAGGACTAGCACCGAATCAGGCCCATTCGATCAAAGCCATGACATCTGGGGAGGTACCATGGCCTGGACTATGATTTCCGTCCACCCCCCAGTCATCTAGCCCCCTCTTGGACGCCTCCGACGCCTCGGACCTCGATCCCCCCGCCCAAACCCGCGGGATCTGCTGCACGCGAAAGTGGCCCTGGGCAAGAGTGACCTCCAGTGCGCGGCTTTCGGGGGGCGCGAGGTGGAGGGGGGAGCAAACCCGCGCGCGGCGCAAGGCGGTGCTGTCGCATCGTGCTCATCGGAGCAGGGCGCGTTGAGACAGTGGCAGCTCCAAGCCAAACCCTGGCGGTCCGAACGCACCAGCTTCCCCAGCTGCGACCCCAGCCGTGGCGACGAGGGGGCCCCCCGAAGGCCAACCACCCCAGACCCCCGACGTCATGATTTTTTCATGACGTCGACCCCCCGAGGTCTCGACCCATTCCCCGGGACCAGTTTTTCGTCCTGAGTCGTTTTTTGACGGTCCCGAGGGCCGGTAAGGGCCCCCAAGGCCAAAAATAATGAAAAAAAATGCCCATCGTGATTTTTTCATAACTCGAGGGGGTCTGGGACCGGTGTCCCAACTCGCCTTCCCGGGAGCTGGGCAGGCGGCCAGGCAAAGCGGGGCCACGCGCGCGACCGGCGAGGACCGGCGAACCCCCCTCGGAACGCAGCGCACGGGGGACCGCAGCGGGCCCGCACCAGAGGCCGCTCCCGAGAAGGGGCACTCCTGCGCGTTGCCGACGGGGTCAGCTCCCGGGGTCGGCCTCCGGGCCACGGGCTCCGGGACCGCGCACAGCGGCTCGCCGCGGGAGGCTCCTCGGGGGGGGGAGATGCGGAGGGGGAGGGACTCCTCCTCCTCCTCCTCCTCCTCCTCCTCCTCCTCCTCCTCCTGCTCGTGAGATTCGGCTGCCCCTCTTCCTCCTCCTCCTCCTCCTCCTCCTCCTCCTGCTCCTCCTCCTCCTCCTCCTCCTCGTCCACCTCCACCTTCACCTCCTCCTCCTGCTCCTGCTCCACATCCTCCTCGTCCTCGTCCTCCAAGCAGCGAGCCCCAGGAGCCCAGGAGGAGCACTTTAATTTAAAAACATAAATGTGCACCAGCGGGGTGGAACAACAGTAACTGTTCCTTAGCAATTAGAGCCGAACCACAACAACAACAACAACAACAATCATTTTACCCGAACGCGTGGTGTTCTCCCCAGTGCCAGGGTTTTCATACGACACCAGGCAATACCCCCACTTCGTGGGGGGGCCGGTTCAAGCTCTACCAAATTTCCAAACGACTCTTCGCCACCACCCACACCCAGCTTCCCGCCCTATGACGTTCGGACACTTCACTTCGTGGCATGCGGACGACCGTGGCTACTATTCAGGGCCCCGCGGCCGACGACGACGGCGTGCGCGCGCGAAGAAAAAACGAATGTGTCCCGCATGGTATTATTTGACAGGGATGATGGCCTGGCAGGTGCGCAACCGTTGTCGCAGAAGTTCGAAAAAGTTGCTCGCAAAAGCCCGTTTGACAGAAATGTTTAAAAAGTGTTGGTTTTCCTACGAATCCGCAAGAGCGCGCGGGATGAGATTTTGACATTTTTTGTTGAAAAACCATTGGTTTTTTGATGTTTTTATGTTAAAATCGCTGCGAACACTAAGGTTTTGGAAGGATTTCGTCTTGCGCGCGCGAATGTCCACTTTACCTTATTTTTTGCAAGGGATTCTTGAAATTTGATTATATTAGAACAAGAAATGTCATTTTATAGTGTTTTTTGCAAGGGAAAGCGGGGGGAACAAAAAACCGGATCCGGGGGTAATCCACTTTTCTGAAGCTTTCGCGAAAAAATGATGAAAATGTAGCTGCGGCCTAGGCGCGGCGGGGGGCGTGCACCAGGGGTCCCAACAATAATAATTCTTTAGAGGTAATAGTGTTCAACAACAACAGCAGCAGCAGCATCAACAACAACAACCATTTCAAGACTGTTCGCCCTTATCTGCTCGAGTGTGCAATAACGCGTATTTCCCAAACCCTCGATACCCGCCCTCTTCGTCTTCGATCGAACCCCGTTTGGGGGGTATATATACCTTTCTTCCCTGCAGGCCGGGCCCCGGCAAGCGGCGGGGCGGCCGCGGACCGTCGGCCTGGCCAGCGGCAACGCTGATCGGCGGGGCGGCCGCGGACCGTCGACCCGACCCCAAGAGGGACGGACAGGGGACCGACCACGACGACGACGACGACGTCGACGACGACGACGACGACGACGACGACGACGACGACGACGACGACGAGCGAAAGCGAGAGCGAGAGAGAACGACAGCAGGGCCACAAGGACACGAAGTAGGCAACGAAGGGCGACAGCGGGGACACGAAGGGAATGCGTATGGGGCCACGAAGAGCGCGAACGAGCGGGGGCCACGAAGGGCAGATAATGCGGGGCCACAGAAGGCAACGATGGGGCCACTGAGGGCAGCAACGGGGCCACGAAGGGCAGCGAGGGGGCCACGAAGGCGACAGCGGGGCACGAAGGGCATGCACATGGGGCACCACGGGCGCGAACGAGCGGGGGCCACGAAGGGCATACATATATGGGGCCACGAAGGGCAGCGAGGGGGCCACGAAGGGATGCAACGGGGCCACGAAGGGCAGCGAGGGGGCCACGAAGGGCTGCAACGGGGCCACGAAGGGCTGCGAGGGGGCCACGAAAGGCAGCGAGGGGGCCACGAAGGGCTGCAACGGGGCCACGAAACAAAGCGATGGGCGCCACGAAGGGCTGCAACGGGGCCACGAAGGGCAGCGAGGGGGCCACGAAGGGCTGCAACTGGGCCACGAAAGGCAGCGAGGGGGCCACGAAGGGCTGCAACGGGGCCACGAAACAAAGCGAGGGGGCCACGAATGGCTGCAACGGTGCCACGAAGGGCAGCGAGATCCCGATTCCTAGGTAATCTGTGAGGGAGTCCTAACCGTGAGCGCGACTCCTGGGTGCCTGGGTGTCGAAAGCGCGGCGCTTGAGTAAATTGCAAGAAACGCAAGGACGCTATCCTCCAGTAAATTGCAAGAAGTCTCCAGCGAACGCGCGACTCCAGAGCGCCGGGAGAGCGATTCCTGCATAATTTGCAAGGACGTCCCAAGCGAGAGCGCGATTCCGAAATCAAATGCGGGAAGTCTCGGGCGGGAGCGGGGGTCCTGGCAAAATTGTAAGGAAGTCTAAGGCGGGAGCCGTTGTTGTTGTAACCCGGGGGCCAGGGGCACATTTTGAGCCAAGACTTTCCCTGATTAAAAAACAGGGTGCGAGCGTCGAGGGGCACACTTTGAGTGAGAAAAACAATATGCACTGGTGGGGGGTCAACAATAATAATTCTTCAGAAGTGAGAATTGAACAACAACAACAACAACAACAACAACAACAACAATCATTTTACCCGAACGCTCAGTGTTCTCCCCAGTGCCAGGGTTTTCATGCGACGCCAGCCAATACCCCCACTTCGTGGGGGGGCAATGCAAGCTCTACCAAACATCCACACGACTCTCGGGAACCACCCACACCCAGCTTCCCGCCCTATGACGTCAGGACACTTCACTTCGTGGCGCGCGGACGATCGTGGATACTACACTGGCGTGGAGTACACACCCGCAGAGGTTGATCACTTGTTTGGGCCCCGCATGTGCCCCGCATGGTGCATTTGTTGCGTATGACATACATAGTACAGAGAGACAGAGAGAGAGAGAGAGAGAGAGCAAGACAGAGAGCCAGTGGAGAGAGAGATAGAAAGAGATTCGTCACATGTGTGAGGCAACCTGAGAAGATGTGGTACACGGTACACGTGAGATGGTACGCAGTGCCAAGATAGTTGGTCACATTTTTGAGGCAAATTCCTGGGAAGGCGATTACACAAGTAGATGTGTTACGTATGATAGATATGAAGCAGAGAAAGAGCGAGAGACAGAGAGAAGGAGAGAGAGGAGTCGGTCACATCTTTAGGGCAACTTCCTGAGGGATGTGGGAGGACACAAGAGAGAAGGTATCGTTGTCCCGATGGTTGTCTCGATGGTTGCCCCGATGGTTGTCCTGATGGTTATGGTTGTCCCGATCGTTATCCCGATGCTTGTCCAAAATGGTTGTCCCGATGGTTGTCCCGATGGTTGTCCCGATGGCTGTCCCGCTGCGATGCAATGTTGTCTGTTTCTGCTGTTATACAGTCCCAAGGATGACGCATGCATTGCTCATACACTGGTGGCGCTGTGATCCTAACTCTCACTGCCCAACGCTGGGGGTCCTCTTGGGGAAGGGGGGAAGCCTCCTGGGGCCGCTGGGGGTCCTCTTGGGGAAGGGGGGAAGCCTCCTGGCGCCGCATGGGGTCCTCTTGAGAGGCTTTGGGGGGCTTCTTGAAAGCATGTTGGGGCCTCTTGGGGGCTTATTGGATCCTCCCGGAGGACTCTTGGAGCCGCTTGGACGCCTCCTGGGGCCATCTTGGGGGCCTCTTGGAGCCAACTTGGAGCCTCTTTGGAACCTCTTGGGGGCCTCTTGGAGTCCTCTTGGGGCCTCTTGGGACCATCTTGGGCGCCTCTTGCGGCCTCATGGGCGCCTCTTGGGGCCATCTTGAGCGCCTCTTGGGGCCATCTTGGGTTTTAAAGATTCATGAAGAGCCCGCGGGTGGATTTTGATATTTTTCGGATGAGAAAGTCTTGCGTTTGCATATGTTTTCGGAACATCGCATCTTGAAATTATTGAAATCACATTATGTTTGGCAGGATTTCGGCACGCGCGCGCGGCGGCCGCGCGCATGTGCACTTCGTGTCATTTTTTGCAAGGGATGGTGGCCCTCGTAGGCTCGCAACCGTTGTTGCAGAAGGTCGAAGCACCTGAAAAGGTTCCTCGCAAAGGCCCTTTTAACAGAAATGTTTAAAATCTGGTGGGTTTCCTAGGAATCCGCAAGAGCGCGCGGAAGGACATTTTGACAATTTTTTCTGAGAAAACCATTGGGTTTTTGATGTTTTTATGTTAAAATCGTTACGAAACCTAAGGTTTTGGAAGGATTTCGTCTTGCGCGCACGAATGTCCACTTTACCTTATTTTTTGCAAGGGATTCTTGCAATTTGATCAAGTAAAAACAAGAATTTTCATTTTCTATTGTTTTTTGCAAGGGAAAACGAGCGTCAACAAAAAACCGGATCCGGAGCTCATCCACTTTTCTGAAGCTTTCGCGAAAAAATGATGAAAATGTAGCTGCGGCCTAGGCGCGGCGCAGAGGTCGCGCACCAGGGGTCCCAACAATAATAATTCTTTAGAAGGAATAATGTTCAACAACAATTACTAGCACGTGGGGACACTCCGTTCTCACCAGTGCCAGGGTTTTCATAGGAGGCGGGCAATACCCCCACTTTGTGGGGGGGCCGGTTCAAGCTCTACCAAATTTCCAAACGACTCTTCGCCACCACCCACACCCAGCTTCCCGCCCTATGACGTTCGGACACTTCACTTCGTGGCATGCGGACGACCGTGGCTACTATTCAGGGCCCCGCGGCCGACGACGACGGCGTGCGCGCGCGAAGAAAAAACGAATGTGTCCCGCATGGTATTATTTGACAGGGATGATGGCCCTGGCAGGTGCGCAACCGTTGTCGCAGAAGTTCGAAAAAGTTGCTCGCAAAAACCCGTTTGACAGAAATGTTTAAAAAGTGTTGGGTTTCCTACGAATCCGCAAGAGCGCGCGGGATGAAATTTTGACATTTTTTTTTGAAAAACCATTGTTTTTTGATGTTTTTATGTTAAAATCGCTACGAACACTAAGGTTTTGGAAGGATTTCGTCTTGCGCGCGCGAATGTCCA